TAACAAAAATCCAAATACTTACTAATGGATGTTCTAATCAAGTACAGACAAATGAAGTCTGAATAAGACTATCTTATTTTATTTTCCCTATCTTTCTCCATTTAAAATAATCAAATTATAATAAATAAAGAAAAGTGATTATTGAAACTCTATGGAATGTTGTACATTTTTAGCACAAAAAATTCCCCCAACAGTCAATCTAACTTCATGAGTCAATAGTACAGAAATGTTCTCCTACACAGCTACTTTCTTTGTAGAGAGATGTATGAATTGCAGTTTCCATCATATGAAACCAGTTTGAGGTTATTCCAAAGGGTTCATTACTATCCTAACAGCTATTCAGAAATGGGAAGCTAGTATATGATTTATTCTGGCAAGACACTCCTCTTCTCCCATAGAAGGAGAAAGTATGTCACTAATAATCACCAGAATTTATGACTGAGGGACTGAAACAACATTAAACTCGCTAGATACCAATATGATATGTCCTTTGGTTTACAAATGCTCATTAAATTCATGACTTATGTAAGGCAGCCTCCTAGCATTGGTATTGCTTAAATCTGTCTCTAGAATGGACTCTGAACCACACCCAAAGGTTACTTAATCCAGTTGAACAAATACAGTTATCAGTAAGTTCTGAGCATGAACACATGCATTCACACCCACACACTCCTATGAAGAGGCAAATAGCATTATGACTTGACCATCAACAATCAAATAAAAGCTCTATGTGAAGAACTACTGTGTGAATTAAAGGGACCTGAATGATCCCTTGCATCACTCCAATTTTATTTGAGAATGGGAGGCCAGCCTATTTTATGGAATCTCCTCAGTACATCCAAAAAATGTGTCTGCACAGGATCCCCATTATGTAGAACTAGCATGACTGCAAATGACTTCCCTTCAGACCTGTGCTTGGTGCTTGGAAAGATGAGTCAGTCAGGCATGCAATGTTAGTGACAGAGCCAGAAGACAAGTTGATTACTCCTATAAATGTTAGCCTACATATAGAATGATAATGACTGCAGAGAAGTCTTCTCACTTATAAACTGATGTAATTCTTCATTCTAATGCTCACAGAGAATTCTGCAGCTGAGGCTAAAAGGACTGCCAATGGCTATACCTTTGTTCTGCTACGAATATGCCTCTTAAGACATAGATCAGTACGATAGAATCACATGAAACATAGGAGTAAGAGTGATGTGCCTGCACCCAAGGACTTGCTCTTGATAAAATACTAGGATGTTCTTCAAATATCTTCTATCTATTCAAATCCAAAGAAAATTTCAAGTTCAAGTTCAAGTGTGTGTGTTGTTGGGGAGGCAGATAGGGTGGGAGAGAGAAGTTTAATCCATGTAAGACACAGATGATCAGTTAAAAGATAGATCAGAGAAAAAAAATTCAGCATGTCTTACTTTTACAGTTTGGATTTATTCCTGGAATATGCATGACCCTTGATATGCAGTTGTCAGTAGTGACCATGAATGAGTTTATAGGCTAAAGTTTGCTGGCCAATCATACCTGCTCATGTAATATCAGTTTTAGACTATTATGTCAGATTTAGTCAGGAGGACATGGGCCTTAAATATACCTTATCTGAATTCTGTATGGGTTGACCTTTGAATGTTGTTTCAAAAACCCAAGTGATGTAGAATACTACAGCTAGACTATTAACTGGTGTCAATTAGGGAGGGCATGTAATTTAATTTGCTAA